GGGGTTGGCGGGCTTACAGGGTTTAGGAGTTGAAGGCGTGGGGTATAGAGTTTAGAGGCGTTTGGGTTTAGGGCTTAAGTGTTTAGGGATTGGGTTGTAAGGGTTGCGGTGGGGTGGCGAGGATTTAGCTAAGAGCTGTCGAGCTTAAGGGTCACAATGCCTGCAGTAGGGTTACGAGTAGAGTTATACGTACCCGAAACGGGTTATCCTACTTACAACTCTACGTGTAGCCTACTTGCCAAGGCTCCTTATCCTTTAAGGAGGACTTACTCGTTTAGTGTAAAGCGCCTGACGACGTTTAGCAGTTCAGGGTTGGGGGTTGGTGGCTTAGGTTTGAGGTTTGAGGGTTTTGGCTTTATGAGTCTCAGGGTGTTAGTATAGGGACCTTAATGGCTACAATAGGGTCAGGTGGGCATACAAACAAGTTTCAGTCAGGAGCCCTAAGCCCTACGGTGTTTCACGATAACTGGCTGGACTCTAGCAGACATGCTATGGGGTGCAAGGCTGACATGCTTGGGAATTTGGGGTTCCAGATTTAGGGGGCAGAGTTGAGGTGTTAGAGTTTAGGGGATGGAAGTTTGGGATGGGGATACCACCTAGCAGCGCTAAATCCTAAACTAAACCCTATGTATACACCCTAAGCCCTAAGCCCTAAATTCCTAAACCGTCGTTGCTAACACCTGGATCTAAGGCAAAAGCCAGAAAGTTGGAATATGATTAGCCTAAACCCTTTATGGTAAATTATAAGGTATCCTACCCTGAAACCATATTCCAACTTTCTGGAGTTCCCTTTAAGGCAAAATTCATAAACCGAACCCTAAACCCTAAACCCTAAACCCTAAACCCCTAAACCCCTAAACCCTAAACCCCTAAACCCCTAAACCCACCTGGATCTAAGGTAAACAAGTCCTTGAAAGCCAGTTCGCAGGGCTTGGGGGGTTTAGGGTGGTTCAGTCTGCCGGGCCAGTAGGGCTTTAGGGCTTTGGGTGTAGGGTTTAGGGTTTAGGGTTTAGGGTTTAGGGGTTTAGGGTTTAGGGGTTTAGGGGTTCAGGGTTTTAGGGTTTAGGGTTTAGGGTTTAGGGTTTAGGGTTTAGGGTTTAGGGGTTTAGGGGTTTAGGGTTTAGGGTTTAGGGGTTTAGGGGTTTAGGGTTTTAGGGTTTAGTTTCGGGTCTTGGGCTTCAGGGCTTTGGGTGTAGCTCCTAAGATCTTGAGAAGCCATGTTGCAGCCGCGATTTGACATCGCTCTTTTGGGCTCGCGATGCTCGTGGTAATCTTGCGAAGTATTGGACCAACTCATGTGGCATTCAAAGATCCCTGGAAAGGCATGATACACATGGATGTCTCGTCTCGCACCGACCAGGTGGTACCAGGTCAGGAAGGTGCAAAGACGTTGCATTCAGTGAGCGTGCATGTGGCCGCCAAATGCAGAAGGTGCTCAAGAACTCATCATCAATGGCTCGAGCCGCTCAATTTAGAAGCCGATTTATGATGAAACTAAGTCACAGTATTCCCGACGGGTCCTTAGAAAACGATGCCATAAGCTGTTGAGAAAGGCTTAGAAGACCGAGGTGGCACTGGAAGACCAAAACGGCCGTCGCTTTGAAGACAACGGCAACTGGCACCCCAAGCCCCATTCAAATTACTAAGAGGCCTCTACATGACTACATCCCGATCCCCGAAGCAGGAACTTCTTTGGAGCATTGGCGTTTGAGGGGGTTTGCAGTCTAAGCTCCGCGGGGCTTTGGCTTTCAGCTTTCGGGGCTTTAGGGTAAAATTGCGGGTTTAGGGCTTTGGGGTTAGTAGGGTTTAGGAGTTTAGGGTTTAGGGTTTAGGTTTAGGGTAATTGAGGGTTTAGGGCTTTCCTTAACCCCGAAGAACCTAAAAAGGTAGGTTATTCGGGGTTTAGGGCTTTGGGGTTGGTAGGGATTAGGAGTTTAGGGTTTAGGTTTAGGGTTGAGGGTTTAGGGCTTTGGGGTTGGTAGGGTTTAGGAGTTTAGGGTTTAGGTTTAGGGTTGAGCGTTTAGGTTAGGGCTTTGGGGGTTGGTAGGCAGGCTTTTAGGGTTTAGGTTCAGGGTAGGGTTTGGGTTTAGGGTAATTCAAGGTTCAGGGCTTTATTGTTTTTGGATGGTTTATGGTTTAGGGCTAGATGGTTTGGAGCGAGAGACCCTAAACCCTACTTGGAGGTTCATGGGCAATAATAACTGGGGTTACATTACAAGTCCCCGAAGATGGGTTATAACTGTAGTTACCCTGCTTATAGCCCCACTTATAACTACCCTTGAACCTCCAAGTAGGGCCCTAAACTGCTAGAGCCCTATTGGATCCCGTTAAAGGAACCCTACACCCTTGTGGATTCCTTTAAAGGAAACCCATGAACCTCCAAGGCTTCTAGTTTACGGTTGAAGGTTTAGTCTGTTGTTTCTGATCCTGCAGCAGGAGCCCGGCTTCAGGGCAAGATGGAGTGCCCCGGCAAGGGGTTAGGGTTTTGGAAGCACGTTTGTAGATGTGTGTGTGTGTGAGGGAGAGAGAGAGAGAGAGAGAGAGAGATGAGAGAGATGAGAGAGATGAGAGAGATGAGAGAGATGAGAGAGTTGAGAGAGTTGAGAGAGTTGAGAGAGTTGAGGGAGTTGAGGGAGTTGAGAGAGTTGAGAGAGTTGAGAGAGTTGAGAGAGAGAGAGAGAGAGAGAGAGAGAGAGAGAGACAGAGATGAGAGAGATGAGAGAGTTGAGAGAGATGAGAGAGATGAGAGAGATGAGAGAGAGAGAGAGATAGATAGAGAGAGATGAGGATAGAAGCCCAATATGCCTCAATTGTGGAGCAAGGCCCCCATCATGTTCAAGATGCCACTATCATTTGAGGTCTACTCCTTATTTAGGAGACTGTCCCACCTCAGAGCTTCCGTAAACCAGGATACCTTTCTCTTTTATGACAACAGCAGGCATGATTACTCCTTCCGAGTCAGGAGCCTCTGCAATCTTATAAAGCCAACATGGGACCCTACAAGAGAACTCCAACAACAACTCGGAGGCTTAGTTGTGTTGGTTTAGGCTTCCCTTAGAGGGTCCTGGTTTCGGATTTTGGCGTCGGTGTCTAGAATGTGAAATGATAGGTAGAACATGCCTGACCCTAAACCCTAAAACCCTAAACCCTAAAAGCCCTAAACCCCTAAAGCCCAACCCTAAAACCCTAAACCCCTAAACCCTAAACCCAAAACCCCACACCCTAAACATGCCTGCAGTCGTAAGTGTCCCAGTCCGACTTGACTTCTGGCCTAATTACTAAGTCCCCAAAGCCCCATACGGCTGATGGACAAGATCCTACAGTACCCATAATAAGGAATTTACCATAATTACCATAGTTTAGGGTCCTTAGGGTAATGCAGGATTTATATCATCAACCGTATGGGAGTTTCGGTGCCTTACTTTGGGGTCCTTATAATACGGATCCTACTATTTAGGGTATTATATCAGGGTCCCCTAACTATTGTTTTCGGAAACTCCCATATCCTAACCCCCCTAAGCCCCTAAACCCATAAACCGTAAACCCCTGAACCCCTGTACCCCAAACCTAAACTCCTAAGCCCTAACCCCGTAAACTTCAAACTGCCAAGAAAAGTTGATTTCACCGGAAGATGTTTTGCCTTTTTTGGTGGAGCTTGGTGTGGAAATCTTTTCAGAGTTGGGGTTCAGGGTTTAGGGTCTTCGAAAAGTACCCTTTAACCCGTTCTTCGGCGTTTTGAAGCTTTGTCATCGGAGAATGGGAGAAAGGGTGCCTTTACTGTTAGCGGGACATTCCGGAGCCAGGTGCTGTAGAAGCTTAAACAGTCAAGTACCAATATTGTTTTTTGGTGGTTCCTGATTATGCCTTTTTCTATGAAGGAGCCCACAATGCCATTCCAGTTATTAACCCCATACATTACCACCTAAACCACTAAACCACTAAAGCTTAAACCCTAAACCCGGCACCCTAAACCCTAAGCCCCTAAACCCCGAAACCCTAAACCCTAAACTCCTAAAGCCCTAAACCCTAAAGCCCTAAAGCCCTAAACTCCTAAAGCCCTAAACCCCTAAACCCTAAACCCCTAAACCCTAAACCCCTAAACCCTAAACCCCTTAAGACCTAAACCACTAAACCCCCCAAAGACTCCAACTCCAGGTGGATTGGCACAGCGAGGATTCGCAGCGATTCCAAACCAACCACTGCGGCCGCCCCCGGCGAAAGGTTCATTTCCCTCGTTGCCGGCACCTCTGGTGGCTCCGACAAATTTTGGCCCCTTCTGGGGATCACCCAGGGCGAGTCGAAGGTGCACCCTGCCAGGAGTCCACTCCAAGGCGGAAGGATCGCGGTTGGACTTGGGACGAGATCAGTGAGATGGCAGTCGCGGAAAGTCTGTTGCATCTGACGGGACATCAACCCGAGTCCAGACATATCCACATGTTGTCGACAAGCTTGTCGCATACGGATTGGGAGAGGCTGCCCCAAACCCTAAACCCTAAATTTAAACCCTAAGCTGGAGGCACGGATCGCGGAGTAAGCCTTTCAGGCACAGACTGTCCACTCCCAGCCACGGAGCGGCATGGAATCGAGGCAGGACCTGGATGCCCACGGTTTAGGGTTTTGGGTTTAGGGTTTTGGGCAAACCAACCCTTCGATGCAGCCGGCTTCAGTTGCGAAAGAAAGAGATGAAGGAGCGTGTGAGTTAAATATAAAGCAAAAAGCCGTCAGACCCTAAAGCCTAAAGCCAACACCACAACATCCTAGACCCAGCCGGGCAACCCCCAACGCCACAAAGTTCCAGAACTCTAAGCCCTAGAAACCGGAAGGCGAACCACCGTGATGTAAAGGCAAGGCAGAGTTGAACCAACTTTTCCCATAGTTAGAGATATAGTACATCCCCTAAACCCTAAACCCTATAAACCTTAGCCATTTTGGCTCAAGCAGTTGTCTCGGTTCGCGAGCTCTCGTCCAGCCTTCTCAAGTCTTGCCTTCCCCGCCGTGCCATGTCTTCGTGCACAGAATCCGTCTCAGCCACCTCAGCCGAGGAGCTCTCCTACCAAGATCCGAATGACATTGTCGTCGAGATCTTGGAAGAGCATTCTCCCCAGATTCTGCTGCGGGCGCTGTCCCGCGTTGCGGTCGAGCAGCTCGGGGAGACAGGCTGCTTTGAAGAAGGAGGCAGGGCGGCCGTTGCTGAGGAGAAGGCTTTCGACTTGGTAAGTCGGCCCGCCTTGTCTGCCTTCCTCCGCGAGAGGCTGGGTGATAGCTATGAACTTCGCATCTGGCAAAAACTCTTGGCGTCGAGCACGGGGTCACTCGAGACTCCTTGGGGAGTGTCAGAACTCTCTGTACAGCGCGGTATCCGGCAGGGGTCGGTTGAATCACCCCTTTTCTTCGCCTGCTTGGCGGAGATGACCGTGGAAAAAACAGCAGAAAGATTCCACTGGAAGAGAGAGGACACCGCACTTCCTGGTTTACACCTCAGCGAAGCCTTGTTTGTGGATGACTCGATCTTGTGGAACTCCTCATTGTCTGACCTGGGGCTGAGAACGGAACAGTGGGCACACACCTTGGCTGAGTGTGGTCTGCGGATTAACATCGAGAAGTGTGCCCTTTATGTTAGTCCGTTTCATCGTGGGGGGCGAAGCATCACGGTACAGGGGGTGACCCTGAAATCCGGAGAACACCTGAATGTCATGGGTCTACAACTCAGTGTGACGGGCACCACGTGTCGGATGCTGGCAGGGCTGCTTGCGAGAGCTAGAGACACCTTTTGGAGTATGAAAAATCTTCTCTTGTCGGACGCACCGATACATGCTCGGATTCGACTCATGCACACGGTGGTGGGCGGGTGTGGACTTTGGTGTATCTCCGCCTTCTTTCCAGACCAATCGGCGCAGCACCTTGTGAACACTTTCCAGATGCAGTTGATCATTAGCATGCTGAAGATTAGACGGCGACCAGACGAAGGGTGGTTGCAGTTTCGAAAACGGTCCTATAGGACAGCGAGGGCGGTTTTGTGGCAGGGGCAACATCGCAGGTGGAGCAGTGTATGGTGTGAGAGACACTGGTTGTACTTGGGCCATCTTGCCCGGTCGTTGCTTCACGACCCGCCCCCTGCTGCTGGACTGGTCTGTGCCTACCGCAATCGGGAATGGTGGTTGTCAGAGCAAGCAAAGAGAGACACTGAGGGAGTTCGGCATGCAGGCAAATTCTTTCCTCGTCTCATGCTCGCTGAGACCCATCTGGATACAGTTGCAGGTGGACCCTGGCGATTTTATGCACAAGATCGAGCGAAGTGGGCAGGCCTTGTGCCTGCATGGGTAAGGTTTGCGGATGTACCTTGGAGTTCAGGGAGACAGCTTGCCTTGGCAGGCGACTGATCGGCAATCCAGCTGGGCTTGTGTGCACTGACTGAGTGAAGCGTGACAGCTGATTTTTCGATGCACATGATCCAGCGAGGACTAGCCTGATAACACCTCGGCCCTGTCCCCGACAACTCCCTCACCGAATCTCGGTGACAGACTTTCATGTTGTGCTTCGGCCCTATGTGCCGACATGGCCTGGCCACCGTGATGGTCGCCTTGGCCCTCTACGGCGTTCTCGCCCATCCTCCTGAAGGACATGGGCACGATCCGCCGGTTTCTTATGGTAATGTACAGACTACTCGGAATGATACCAGTTTTGGGAACTTTGGGAAGCAAGGAGATCACAATCAGGATTGCCACTCGACCGCCCCCCACTGTGAACTACCAGAACACTTGGACGAACCAGGGAGCTCGGAAGCTGCAGGCTCGGTGGATCAGGGGCCTGATGAGCGGTCGAGTGCGGAAGGTCTCCCCGCTAGTTCCGAAGTGGATGATCCCACGAGAGTGCCAACTTCGGGACCCTTGCCATCCTGCCCCTGCTCCTCTTCGGCAAGCTCTAGCACGGCCATCCACTACCAGATCGAAGAACCCCCTTCCGTCACTGCAGCCAGACTACAGCGAGCCAAGCGTAAGCGCATTCTCATGCGCACACTCGTGACGGACGAGACGGACTACTTCGTGCGAGAGGTGGCTGCCAAATTGGACCGAGTAGGGCAGGAGCACGGCAGTGACGCGGTGATTGCTGTGAGCATGGAACTGAGGAGGGAAATCGGGCTGTTCTTGCAGTACGACCCCGACGGGCTCCGGGATGCCATGGTCACTCCGGTTCTCCAAATCTTGGACAACCGGGAGACTGCCAACCCGCACATCCTTGCGAAGAGGTACAGGGGCTGGTTGGACGGGATGTATGCTCGCTTTTTTAGGGCAGTTGAGCGTGTGAAGTTTCGAGCGGCGGAGGAGTTAGACCTCGGGGAGCTGGCAGATGGCAGCTGCCTTATGGACTTGGGAGGATCTCGGCCGCCGTGGAGGAGCCGATCAAGGACTGTTGGACCGAGCGGGCCACGCAGCGCACGGGTGACGCATACATTCGTCACTCTCTCGGCAGATGGGACTACTTCGGCCAGCCCTCATCCCCCCTTGCATGGCGAACCAACAACGACAAGCGAGGCCGTAGGACTTGTCTGCCAAGTTCTTGGGCTTCGGAGCACGGAGGAAGAGAGGACTGGGACACCCGGGTTCCTGCCTCTTAATGTCCAACAACACCTGATTGAGGTGATGACGCCTATGAGCGCCAATGGCCGTCGTCTTATGCATGATGCCCTCTCTCCGTGCCTCGAGAGACTTGGAGACGAGCTTGAGGAAGTCATGGTGTCTCTGCCGCCTGGCAGCTCGGCTACGGGGTCAGGGGCATCGAGCGGCACGGCTCGCTCTTCCAACCCGCCACCATCCGGGAGGCGACCCCAGTCCAGCGCGAGGCCGCCCACTCGCTCTAGACCTCCTCGTCCGTCTACCTCACCTGCTCCAAGTGATACCTCGGTACCAGATGCTGGACCAGCTGTTGACCTGGCGAGCGAGTTCGTGGAAGTGGTAGTGGAGAATGGGGGGTCGGATGACGAGCTCCTCCTCCAGACCTACATGGTTACTGCAGGTGGAAGAACACGATGATGTGGACACCCATTCTTTGGTCCAGCGGCCAGACAAGCCAGGACGGCCTGGGACTGAGGAACTCAGCGACCGCGGGGGTGGTCCGCCAGCCAACCATGCTACGGGGACTCTCGAAGTGAGCTCGCAGGTACCTGGATCGTCGCAGGGGAAGAATCTGCCACGAGCCTCCTGCAGCAAGTTCAGGGCGTGATCGCTCCCGCTCCCCCTTGCATGGTGCCATGGTGCCTGGGCTTTCCTGGAGAGCCGATGGTGGGAAGCCGCGGAGGAACGTTTTCGAGTCCTACATTTCCTTGGTGGAGGTGGGCCCCGAATGCTTGGGTACCTCCAGCACCTGGTGGATGGTCGCGAAGTCAGGTCCTATCGGGAGTTTGCTGCCCCACTCCTGCATCACTTGGAGAACGACCTTCCAAACCCCTACTGCCTCGACCTCACCCGGCACGACATGGACTTCGCCCTCACGCTGGAGGGCTATGTATGGGAGCAGTGGACTTCTGAGAGGCGTCCTCGACCGGGAACGACGATGGTGGACGCCGGAATCTTTGCCGCTGTGGATGGAATCCGAGCGGGGGAGTCGACCTACCGTACTCTGGTTTGGACGGCCGTCGAAAGCCTTGCAGCGACGGCAGAGGACCCGGGACATACAATGGAAACCGACATGGCAGTGCCTAGGCAAATGGGCGACCCCTCGGACGATAACAGTGACGGGATCAGTGGCAGTGAAGCTGAGGAGGCAGTGGAGGACGATGAAACCTCCTCCCTTGTTCAGACGGCCTTGCAGCTGGTGGGACACGGAGGATTGTTGCAAATGATCCAGAGTGTAGACATCAGGCTCACGGAGCTTGCCCCCGGGATTCGTGTGCGCAGGGCCATCAAGCTACTTGACCTTCTACGCGGTCACTTCTGCCGAGGAGGGGGACGCGACCGGCTTCCTGAAGCCGCAGAGGGCCTTGAAACGATGCTTACTGTGCATGCGGTGTCTGATAGTGGAGAATGTTCGGTGGGTGAGTCGGACAATGAGGATCTACAGTGGACTGGCAACTGGCGGGACCAGTTACGGGCTCTCCTTCCTGATCCGTCGGCGAACCGTGTTGCAGATACCCTCCTCTACGAGTCGATCTCGACGATCGATCGAGACGGCGAGGTGGACGACAGTGACGGGAGCCGTGCAAGCACGATCTCCTGGCTGGCAAGGCAGGAGGAAGCTGCTGCTGCGGAAGATCTTCGCCGGTTCAACGAATATATGGATGAACGTGAGCGGGAGGAGAGACAGGCCGACAGTGCTCGCTACCAGGATTGGGAGGATTGGGCGGTCCACGATGAGATGTACCACCCTTCCGCGGCTATGGCCTCTAAAAGAGCCCGTGTCGAGGTACAGAGCTACTTGAGGGGCGAGGAGGGAGGCGCGAGCAGCAGCACCAGCTTCTGGATACCTGCTCAGGGCATGGTGAAGATCAGCGTGGTGTTTCCGGAAGATGGGGCCGTACAGGAAAGTCCTTCCACCACTGTTGCTGCGGGTGTTGGCGAAGTGGATGCTGGCGAGGGGCAGGAGAGTGCCTCGACCCTGGCGGGAAATGCAGCAGTGCAATGGGGGGCCGGTGTGCTACGTGACGGTGGTGATCCGACGGGGCCTCCTACTGAAGCTGAGGGGGTTGATTTGACATAGGTCGATGTGGCCTGCCTGTGCTTGAGGGGACTATGTAGGTGCTGCTATTGTTGAGTTCCTTCAGATTGCATGTTTGCCTCTGGTTCCCCTGAGTTGACAGTGCATCCTAGCAACTTGTATGCTGATGAACTGACTGGCCTCGAGAGCTCCATCTTGGGAACTTGTGGTGCTATCCTTGATGTTGCTTTGGGTTATTTTACTTTCGGGTAGAGTGTTCCTAGACTGTGTTTTATGAAAGTGGAGATCCAGGCCGCTGATCAAGTTTTGCATTCCGAGTACCCTGATATCTTCTGGGCCTTCGTATATTTTCGCTAGTTACGCCCAGCAGGACTCTGCTTTCTACTGCTCAGCGGACGCATGAATGGGAGAAAAGGGCCGTCTAAAAAACAAAAAAAACCCTATAAACCTTAAAAATCCTAAAAACCCTATAAACCCTGTAAACCCTATAAACCCTAAACCCTAAACCGCTTCTGCCGGGAGGCCCGGTAAACTGAACCCGAATCCCGATAACCCAAGCCTACCCGATGCCGAGGTACTTCGTCATGAGCAGTGCGAATGGCTGGTCTTACGGGAAGATGCCCGTTCCTCGGGATGGTTTTGATACGGAATAAAGTAAAAGCCAGAAAGTTGGAATATGCTTATCCTAAGCCCTTTATGGTAAATTATAAGGTATCCTACCCTGAAACCATATTCCAACTTTCTGGAGTTCCCGGTAAGGGATTTCTACCCGGGCTGCTCTCAGGGTTCAGTTGGGGTTTGGGAGTTTTTTTGCTTAGTAAAGTTTCAGGGCATAATCTAGTTAGCGTTCAGGGTTCAGTCTGGAGGGTTGAGGCGAAGTAGGGCTTGCGGTTTGCGCTAGCCGCTAGTTGGGGTTTAGGGTTTGCTTAAGTGCTTTACGCTAATCCAGGCTTAGGTTTTCAGCACTTACCAAGACAAATGGGAGTTTCCGACAATAGGGGACCCTAATATAGTACCCTAAAACGTACGATCCTTCTTATAAGGGCCCAAAAACAAGGTACCCCTAATTTTCGGAAACTCCCAAATGAGTGCCGCAGGTTGGCTGTTTCAAAAATGAGACCATACGCTTCAATAAGCTGAGCCTAAACCCTAAGGCTCCATGTGCCCACATAGTAGATACTTAGGCCTTAAAGTACAAATATCGGGACCCCTTTAGGGCCTAAGTAACTACTATAGAGGTACATGGAGCCTTTGGGAAACAAAGAGACCCGATGCTGCTAACATGCTGTGCTCTTTTGGCATGTTTTTGCATTCCACAGTTTGTAAGAGGGTTCAGGTTTTAGGGTTTAGGGCCAGATCAGGGCTTGATATCCTTGACGTCTTTGTTAAGTCTTCCGCTCGCGGTTCTCGGCCACTGTGAAGCTGCTTATGGGGGCAACCCGGCGTACTACAGGCGGACCATTCCCCCCTAAACGCTAAACCCTGAACCCTAAACCCTCAACCCTAAACCCTAAACCCCAAACCCTAAACCCTGAACCCTAAACCTCTCTACCTATAGTAATTTAAACCCTAATGACTTCGTGGTTTTGGATCAAAACTCGTGGTCTTTGGATCAAAACTCGTGGTTTTGGATCAAAACTCGTGGTCTTTGGATCAAAACTCGTGGTCTTTGGATCAAAACTCGTGGTTTTGGATCAAAACTCGTGGTTTTGAATCAAAACTCGTAGCC